TCACTTCCCAATTTCCTCATCTGTAAAATGGGGATGATAACAGTGCCTGCATCATAGGATCGTGATGATGGTTAAATGAGTTAATACTTTCAAAGTGCTTACAATGTGCAGAACAGCACCTGCACATAGTGTCAGATAAGCACTTGTTAAGCAAAAAAAAAAAAACCAGGAGGAATACAGACTATAACAGAGAGGGTAGTGGCCCAGGCACCAAGGGACCTGGGTTCTGATCTGGTTCTGTTTGGATGTGTGACCTAGAGCAAGTTCCTTCCCCTCTCTGGGCTCAGCTCAGGCTCTGTAAGCTGAGGAGGTTGCGGGGGTTGGACGCCTGCGGCAGGCGAGGAGCCTCTCGTGGGCTGCACGCCTTTGGCCTCGCCCTGTGCTATGATTTCAGAGCCTGGGCCAAGGGACGGCGAGACTTGAGCTGGAATGTTTGTGCGCTCCGAAAGAAGGGAGGCCCACTAGGCCTTTTCAAAACTCACATACTGTCTTGCAAATCAGGTAACAGAGACGATCTCAGTAAAGGGGCCAATTGTGTGACTGGGACCAAAACCCACTGGCCTCCATTATCTCCCACCCTCTCTCTGGTTTCGCTTATCTTTGCCCTGAACTGAGAGAGAAAGGAGTCTTTGAAAAACGTCATCTGGGCAACCACAGTGGTATGAGAATCACAGGTTTCAGATGGCGCGGGCCCACTCCCAAATCCGTATGCTCGGTTATGTTTCTCCTGCCAGAGCGGGAGGTGCCCACACTTGGGAGCCTGTTTGAAATGTGAGTCCCCACACGCGGGTCGTGTGACCCCAGGCAAGTTAGGCAGCAAGCTGAGCCTCAGGTGCCCCATCCCTCCAGTGGCACAAGGGAGGGGGCTCTTTCCTGTTAGTCACCTGGGCAGGAGAGCTGGCTGTGCCAGAGGCAAAGAGGTCCTGGGGGCTGCTGCTGAGGCCAGATACTCTGATATGTGGGGTGGGGTGAAAGGGAGCTCCCAGCTGGGGCCTCAGTGCAGTCCTCAGGGCTGCACCTCCATTCTGTGGGGGTGGTTACAGCTGGAGACGGTGTCCAAGGCCATCTAGGCCAACTGCGTCCATTTTACAGATAGGGAAACTGACAACCGAAGAGGGGAAATCTCTGCCCCACACTCCCGGGCCTGATGCCGGGCTCTGACCCTTGCAGTCGCCTGCCCTACTTGCAGCCACAGCCTAGTCTAAGCTCGTCCCCCTCCAGCAGCTCAGGGGAATGCCAGAGACAGCAGGCCTGCGGGGCCCCTCGGGGTCACACTTCTCCTCCCTGGGAAGGGCGAAGATTCCTCTGAGGCACCCCCTCCCACCTCTCACTGGTCTCCCCAGCACCCCCTGGTCCATGTGTGCCCAGCCTCAGCTCCCGAAACCACCACACCCACTGAGTCAGTAACCCTCAAGGACTCCCCAGGCCTACGGAGAAAAGTCCGGACTCTCCAGTCTGCTTTGCCACTCGCCCCATTACCTAGCCCAAACCCCCTTCCTGCTCACATCTGACCCTCCACGGAAACCACACTGAGACTCCCCATTCCCAGTTACCTCCCCACAGGAACCTTTGCCTGTGGCCTTCACTTGGCCTGGAATTAGAAAAACCCAGGGCCCAGTTCCTGTATCACCTGCTCCGTGAAGCCTCCCCACCAGTAGGCATTAACCCTCTGTCCGAGCTCCCAGTCCGCTCCCGCACAGGACACGGTTTATTATGTGCGCATCCCCGCCGGGCTGAGCCCCAGGGCACAGTGCCCGCCAGGCTCCCTGGTGGTGCCCAGCACAGGCCTGGTGGCTGCAGGTAACTGGGTCACACTCACTGAGCGAACAAGAAGTGGCTACATCTCCCTTTTGTTCTCCCTTTTTAAAGCTGTTTGTTCTTATAATTCTAGGCGACAGTGATCGAGGATAGAATTAGAACAGAATATTTTACAGCTTGATTGTTCCTGGCCTATAGCATTTGTTTTTACTGAAACCCAAGCCAATGGGCAGAGGTGATGCAGGGGAGGGAGGAAGGACCCAACGCTCTCCCCACCAAGCCCCCTTCTAATCAGCTTGAGCAGCCACGTTAGGAGACCACCTTCTCGTGGCTGGGCAGGGGAAAGCGGTGAACATGAGGAAGATGCAGAGACGCTGCAGGGGGATTTGTCATTCTAGGGGGACTGGGACTCGGGAATCTGGGTTATCTAGAAAGAAGCCACTTAGTCAAACTGGAGATAAGACCAGGTTATAAGTCATGGAAGCTTAGCCCTGAAAGAGACCAACCAACTCCGTCATTTCATGGATGGGGATGCTGAGGCATAAGAAGGACAGCAACTAGCCTAAGGTCACATGGAGTGAAAGAGACAGGGCTGGGTTGGAAGCGTTCCTCCCTTTGAAACTAGGACTTCTAGACCAGCAGAGCGTGAGGTCGAAGGAACAGGAAAAAAAATTTTGTTGGTGGGTCACTGGGAGTAATGGTAAGTGGTGCCATTCCCATTTCCAACCTCAATTCCTGGAACTATGAATCCTGGCTGTGGGAGAAATAGCATCACAGAGTGCCTGCCGAAACAGAGCATACACAGCCTTCTAGAGCGTGTTGCCACAACCCTGCTCCCACCCAGCTGGTGCCATCGCTGAGTCTTCAAAAGGCCATTTCCCTGTTCTATCAAGCCAACCGCTTCAGGACAGTGGAGAGCATGTGTCATGGAATGAATTAGCTGAGAAATAAAGGACTAGAAGAATCCTCTCACTTGTTGCATGTTTTATCATTGCATTTTACAGTTGGCACATTTAAGACATTTGTTTCCTACTCAGAATTTGCCTCTGCAGCCAGGGTACACAGCATCGAGAGGCAAATGGCTCCTTGGTGGTGCATGTGGCTTAGCAAGCCACGCCGGAGCTGTGAGCAGGGCCAAGAGAGCGATTCCTAGGTGGCCTACTAGACGGGGCTCTTCATCCCATAATTACATCCCAGGCACCCAGGCCAATGCCCA